AATGACCCTCTCTTTTTAAAATTTACAACCAGTAGAGAACCTTCCACTGCAGTTGCTTTCTCTGGAGGAAATGCTGAATGTAGGACTAATGTAACAGGGCCCCAATGGCATTCCAAATTAAAAAACTGGGGATGGGGGCACCTGGTCGGCTCAGTTGGTTAAGTGCCCAACTCTTGATTTTGGCTCAGGTCATGATCTCAGGGTTGTGAGATCTAACCCCAAGTCAGGCTCTGTGCTGGGTATGGAGCCTGCTCAAGACTCTCTCTCTCCCTCTGCCCACCCGCTCTCTAGGAAAAAAAAAAAAAAAGACAGGTAATGGAAGGACATCAAAAGAGTGAACAAACCCTTATATAAGAGAAACCCTTATATAAGAAAATCTATTTTTGTCCATAAAGATAAATGGAAAGCCTGAATATTAGGAGAATACCTACAAATAGATCTACTTATTCAACTGCAAAGTAATGTTATATGAGTAGTGAACAGGTTAAGGGACAAAAAAACTTTACTTCCATTGAATCCACAAGTGACAAAGAGATTTCTCCTCAAATATTAACTCTAATTAATTGGTAATGATCCCAGTAAAGCTGCAATGTCTATTAAAGGAGGCAATAGCTACAAGTGGATATTTACATTTAAATTTAAAATCATTAAAATTTGAAACTGGGTTCCTCAAGCCATGTTTCAAGTCCTCTCTAGCCATAAATGGCTTGTACCTGTCACAATGGATAGCCCTTGTAAAGAGTAATTCCATTACTGAGAGAAGTTCTGTATCTAATCTATATATTAGACAGCACTATCTTAGAGCATAAGTTGAAAAGCATCCTAAGATGCCAACTGGGATCAGAGAAAAGAAACAAGGACAAGGTAACTACTTCTGCTTTAGGACATATTTTTATCGGTTTTTCCTTTCTCTGATGAATTCCGGCCACCTAAAGTAGTACCTAGCACATAGCAAGTGCTCAAGAGATATTTAAATTTGCTACTGTCACTTTAAGAACACCATGTACCCTGTTATTCCATCAAACAAATTCAAGATAAACTAAAAGCTCTTTATGCACATTCCCACCCTAAAAAAAACACTCCGACACTTTATATTAAAAGGCAAAGATTAATAAATATGGCAAGAAGCACAACTTTCTGGGCAGAAAGCTTTAAAAGGGATAAAGTTTGTGAATGTGTTGTTCTATGTACAGCTCAAAGAATTTTCTGCATAGATTCCATTGTTTTTTGCTGCCCTCGGCATCCCTGTTCTACTAACCTGTTAATGGTATCCAGGTATGGGCAATGGCGGCTCCTCCGGTCCTCGGAATCCACGCGGCCATTCTTTGCTAAAAGGAAAATCATCACAGACTGTGAAAATGGGAAAACTGTACTCAGGGTCAACTACTAGTATAAACAAAAAAAATGAGAAAAACCCAACAGGATGAGCTCCTACACAGGTGGCCCAGCAATACATCAAAAAGCCCACTAATGGAAAAAGCACCAAACTGGGAGAATAGATTTGAAACACATATAACCAACAAATGATTCATTTGCAGATTACATAGAGAAATCTGGTGAAGCGATAAGAAAAAGACAAACAACCCAACAGAAAATGAGGAATATAACCCTCATCAACAATCAAGAAAATGCCAATTTCCTTGTACGATATACCCACTTCACACCTACCAGAGAGGAAAAAATAAAACCAGAAAATTCCAGGTGTTGGCAAATACAGAGAGCAATGGAAATGCTCATGTACTGCTGGTAGGAGTGTAAACTGTTACAACTTCCTGGAAAATAGTACAGCAAGATCAAAGCTGAAAATACGCAGACCTTTGACCCAGCAATCTCTACTTATAAACCAGAGAGAAACTTTTGCACATGTACACTGGGAGTACTTTACTAAAAACATTTATAGCAGCAATATTTAAAAGGGCCCAAACTGGAAACGAACCAAATATCCACCACAAATAAAATGGATAAACATATTCTGGTATATCATCAATAGAACACTATATAGCCATGAACATCTATTTGGATGAACCTCAAAAATATGCCTAGCAAAAAAAAACAAAAAGGAAAATCAGAAGACCACATATAGTATGATTCCATTTGTATCAAACACAAAGTAAAACACAGTACTACTTAGGGATACATATAGGAGGTAAAACTAAAAATAAAAACAGACATGATTAGAAAAATTTCAGAGTAATGAATTCTTAAGCAAGGAAGGCAGGCAGATACAACTGGGAAGGGGCCTATGGGAGCTTCTAAGGTACTGGTTATGTGCCACTTCTAACTCTGAATAGCATTAGGAGACAATTCTCCATGGGTCTCTCATGTTTCTGCCCACACTGTGACCAGAGGCACTGTCTGCCTCCAGACTACCTTGTCAAGGATATTTGTATAGTAAACGCATTGGGGGGGGGGGGGGGCGGTCTGTGGTCTCCCTCCAGTGCAAAGGGGAGTCAAGTTCACAGACCATTATAAAAGATTCACCTTCTGTAAGCCCAGAGTTCCTTTCCTGGAAGGCCACCCACTATAAATATAAGTTCTTTTCAAACTGCACTGTGGGAATGACACGACAGGAACTTGTCCAGAAAACTGTGGCAGGCTAACTAGATAATTTGCAAATAAAATCTCAAACCCTTCACAGTTCTTGACAAGTAAATTTAAGGATGTATATTTTCACTCTTCCTTAAACTATACCTGTACATTATATTCAGTCCATCTTAGTACCTGTGATCTATTTCTTCATAAAAGTGAAAGGGAAAAAACAAACAAAAAGAGACAAGCCAGAAGAGCAAGTGGGATCCTAGTGTGTCTCAGAGAAAACAATCTCATCACAGTTATGCAAGATACCTAAGAAACAACTTCTCTTCCAAAGAAGGGGAAACCTGAAGCTGACAAGGTACTTAAGAAAAATCAAAGAATACCCTGAAATTATTAATTATTCAAAGAATATTTATCAAACATTTTCTATGGGCAAGGTGCTATTCTGGACTCTGTGTAATACAAAAATATGTCAAACAGAGGACTCTAACCAAGAAGTTTAAGATTTAATATTAAAGTATAATCATACACAGATAACCAGGGCCAGAAAGCAAAATTATAAAGCCTTAGAGAACTAGTACTGTCCTCACTACAATGCAGTCAACTCTGGTCGCGGACACTAGGAGTGTGAATCCCCTAACCCCACGCCCACGTTCATCCCCAGGGAAAGCTGGAAAGAGAAAAAGGAGAACGTTGAGAATGGAGCCCGCGCCTGGCACGGCCCGGCCCAGCCCAGCCCCGCGCACCTCGCACCTCCCGCTCAGGCTCAGAGTCCTCGTCGGCCTCGCGCTCCCGCTTCACCCGCACAGCCGGGACCGCGGGCGTCGGGGCCTCCCGCGCGCTCACCGGCTCGACCTCCCGCTTCACACGCACGGGGCTGCCTCGGGAGCTCGGCGCCTCGGCTTCCCGCTCCCGATCTCGCTCCCGCTTGACGCGACCCGAGCTGCCCCGCGACTCGGACTCGCGCTTCCCGCGGGTAGAACCACGAGATTCACGCTTGGACCGACCAGACATCGCCACTACCGGCCGAGTCGTTCTGCGCAGGCTCCAGGCACGCTGGAGCGCGCGACAGGTAGCCAATCAGGAGCCGTGCTATTATGCCCCCCCCCCCCCGGCTCTCTACGAGTCGCCGTCGAGGACACGTCATGCCGCGAGAAACTTCTGGGAAGAACTGCGCCTCCAGTGGCCTCTTAGCCTCTGCGTGCGTCCCTGAGAAAAGCCTGCGGGCCTACTGCCACCTTACCCATAATTTTCTGGATTAAAAAAGGTTGTCATTGGGCCCCGGATTTCTTCGAGTTACTTTGTGCCCGGGAACCAGAATCGGGAGGTCGTCTCCACAGTCGCTGTGCACCAGAGAACTTGGCGACATCCCCAAACCATCCCCTTCATGCAGCAACCTGGCTACTCTAATTCCGCGTTTAGAGGCTTGTTCTCGGTCTCACAGGAAAATACAAACGTCAGGCAGAGAGACAACCTTGACCCTAATAGGGTTCAAACCCTGTGACCCTCACGATCTTGTACAGTTCTACCGAGATGAAATTGACATGCAATCCAATGCATGTTTATTTAAAGTGTGCAATTTGCTAAATACTGATGGATGGGTGTATACACTCTGAACGCATCACCACGATCTAGATAAGGAACCTACCCACCAGCCTCAAGATTGTCCTTCTCCAAACATCTGCTTTCTGTCACTACAGAGCAGTTTTATATAAATGGAAGCCCACGGCGTGTCCTCTTTTTTGCCTGGTCCCTTTGGCTAGGAGAATTTATTTTGAGATTCATCCACGTGGTTGCGTGTATCAACAACTTGCTCCTTTTGATTGCCCGGCAGTATTCCATCGTGTGGATGTACCAGTATGTCGCTGTACTAATCACAAATTTCTAATTTTGTCATTTTTTAGAGGACTCCAAAACTACACACTCAGATCCTGAAAAGCGCTGGGTCCTTCCGCGAGGGCAGTTAAGATACGGGTCGGGTGGGCTCGGGCGCTGGGCGGGCTGGAAGGGGCGCCCCCGCCGCCGGCAGCCTCCGCGGGGCTGTGCGGCCAGGATGCCGCTGTGTGCCTTGCCTGAGCATTCGCCTCCTCACAACCTCTTTTGAGGTAGATGCGCTCAATGTCCTCGTTTACAAATGAGAACACTGAGGCTCCGCGGGGTTCTATAGTCAGCCGAGGTCACGCAACCGGTGATGGGAGTTTCACAGCATTTTATCACCACAAAAAGGAAAGGAAGACTCCACAGCGATCGCTGAGTGGTATGATGGGTGCTTTGTGTTTTTCTGAATTTTCTGATGTATCAGCAGTAAGCCTAAGTCCTGTTTCCTATTGCTAATGTCACAAAGAAAAGCCCCGACGGGGAGTAGAAGCCGCGCATGCCCCATCCCAGCACCCGCGCCGGGAACTCCGCGCGCCGCGACGCTCGGCCCGACAGGCTCTTTCCGGGCGGGACGTCAGGGCGCGGGGCCGGAAGTCAGGCGAGGGGCGGTGCGGAACTCGCCGGACGGGAGGGTGGCCGTTAGGGCCGTTGAGTTGGTGGCGGCTCCCAGCACAAGGCTCCAGATGGAAGCGGCACCAGATCCCGGGCCGGGGCTCTGCTGCAAGCCTGGCGGGCGGCTGGACATGAGCCACGGCTTTGTGCACCACATCCGACGGAACCAGCTCGCCCGGTACCGCCCCGCCCCGCCGCCGCCCCCAGCCTAGCTTGGCCCGGCGGTCCCTGACTCCCGCTCGGCTCCCCGCAGGGACGACTATGACAAGAAGGTGAAGCAGGCGGCCAAGGAGAAGGCGAGGAGGCGGCACACGCCCGCGCCGACGCGGCCCCGCAAGCCCGACCTGCAGGTGTACCTGCCGCGACGCCGAGGTGAGGCCGCCCACCCCGCCTGCCTCCTCCAGCCCGCGCGCTCTTTCGGCCCCCAGTCCTGTCTCTACACATTCTTTTCTCTACGTGGAAAAAAAAAAACCCACTTCTTAACCCCCAGGGCTCAGTTCATGTCGTCCCTCCCCTGACGCTCCCCATTCGCTCACTGATTCTTCCTAAGAACAGAGAAGGCTCGTGGCCCCCAGTTAAGCATCACTATTAAGGGGAAATACCTGGGAGCTAGCAAGTAGTTGTTTGTCTGCTGGTTTGCCCACCATGCTATGCTTTAGGGTTCTCACTATCTGACAGAGCTTGGCACAGCTATAGTTGAGTAGGACGTAGGTGTGGAATGAAACTCAAACTCACTACGAAAAATGGCCTTTTCTCCAGCTTCCCAGGGACCTAGCGATCACAATAGCTAACACGGCACTAAATTTGTTTAGCGTTACTTAAAAGTGTTTTACAGATCTTGGGTACGTTAACTCATTTAATTTTCACTGGATCCCATAAGATGGAAACTACTGTCATTTCTGTTTCACAGGAAACAGGCACAGAGAGATTAACTTGCCCAAGGTCCCATAGCTAATAAATGGCAGAGCCTGCATTTGAACCCAGGTAGGACTCTGGCCACCTCTCGACTACCTTCCAAACTTATTCACTAGATGAAGGTGCATTGTGTATCTACGATGTGATACGATTGTGCTGGCCCCAGAGCAGGGATACAAAGGTAAATGAAACTATTGATTGGCCGTGCACTTAACACATAACACACATGCACAGAGTCCGTAAGAAGATCAGGGCTTTCTTTACGGTATGTTTTCATGTGTCATCCATATGGGCAGGGGCTCCAGCAGCCTTCCCCTCTTCCCTCTCACTGTGATTCATCCTTCCAGATGGCTCTACCCACCCAAGCAACCCAGACTGTGAGGAGTCCGGTGAAAGCAGCAGTAGTGGCAGCTCTGAGCCAGAACCTTCTGGCCATCAGCTCTTCTGTTTAGAATATGAGGCAGACAGCGGAGAGGTCACCTCAGTTATCGTGTATCAGGTATGCCTCGTGGAAACAGCTGCAGCCTGAAGGTCCTTGGCCGTGCTAGAAATCACTGCCAGAGCCTGAGCCACTGTTTTCCTCAGGGCCAGTGGGAAGTGTCGGCTCCACATAGGAGCATAGACTGCTGGGCGATGCTTTTGAGCACAACTCACGCCTGTCACACAGTGATTCTCAGCAGGCACTTGGGAGGGCATGTGGCCCCCAGCTGAAAATCACTATTACAGGGGACACCTGGGAAATGACAGGCACTGGCAAGAAGCCATGAGTCAAATGGAGTTCTGTGAGAGTGTTGTCTAGGGACAGGGCAGGTGGCCTTTCCAGAAGAGGCTGGGCCCTGAGCTTCCTGACTCTTCCTCCACGTAGGACGATGATCCAGCAAGGGTGAGTGAGGAGGTGTCAGCACACACGCCTCTGGATCCACCCATGCGAGAGGCCCTCAAGTTGCGCATCCAGGAGGAGATTGCAAAGCGCCAGAGGCGACACTGACCAGGCTGAAGGCATTCTCACCAGGCTGGATTCACTGCCCAGGGAGCTCACTCCTAGTTTGGGGGTGCCAGGACCAGTCTGAGCTGATCTTGAGAGTGACACACACACACACACACAGACACACACACACACCCAAGCTCAACATCCATAGGAACAGAGTGTTGCAGGGACAGCCCTGCTTTGTAGGCCATTCTTTCTTGCATGTTGGCCCATTTGACCAGCTTAGTATTCTGGAATTTGAGAATTTTGTTTGGCTAACTTGGTGTTCTAGAAGCATAGATTCCAGGGAGAGCTGAGCTTTATGAAACCTTTTGCCAACATGCTGCTTTCTTACTAAGGTCATATGCCGTGGGACACCTAACCACTGCTGCTCCACCCAGCTCAGTGAACCCTATTTGTTGTTTTACAGTTCATTTGTTCCTTGCTTCTGCTCACTTCCATCCATGTTTTCCTAGACCTTTTTTTCAGCCGTTTCTTTGTTCTTTCCATTCTCTCATCTTTGTCTCAGAATCCATCAGTTCCATCGCACCTCCCAATGTGACTGTGCACCTCCCAACTGCTCAGGACTTTGGAGGTGGGGAGTCCTGGGGGTTCTACCTTTCTGACAAGCTCTTCCGGTAATTCTCATACCAATAAAGTGGGAGATCTTCATTTTTGAGACTGACTTGCAAGCATGTCTCCCTCCCATTCCATGGCTTTTGCAAGTTTCTCTCATACCGCACTGCTTTGCACTGTCTAGATAAAGAGACATAGGAAGATGATGCCAGAACTCAACTGCAAGGATTTCTTGCAGCAAAGCCTGCCTTGGTTAGGGCTATAGGATTCCAGTTTTCAACCTCATCCCTAGCTGTAAACAGACCATCCCCTGCTCAGGCTAAAGGGGAATTATCAAAACAAGCTTGAAACTGACTCTCCAAATGTGATCTAACAGTCTTGAATGTATGTACAAAGGGAAATTCAACATGAGCAATAATTGCCTATTTGGAGCCTAGTTGCAAAAAAAAAAAAGGCCTGTACAATGGGCGGCAAAATGAGTCTCTCTCATCTGCCCTGCCCCTGCCCCTGCCCCTGCCCCATTCTTTCTCCTTTCCTATCTCCCAAGAGTATATAAACTGAGATCCTTAGAATAAAAGATCCTAGGAATATCACTGTTTTCACCTCAGTGAACATTTTCCCTAATGCAGGGTTAGGCTAAGGTCTGAGAAGTCCACAAGACATCCTATGCACTGCAGTTCCAAGCCACTCAGATTTCCAGCAATTGACCTAACCTCAGTGACTTGAAGTATGGGATTTAAGTGAGCCCATGAACACTAAGACTTCTTGAAACCAAAGTCCCCCTGCCTCAGGGGTTTTCTCTACATCAGGGTCTCAAGATCAGTCTGGCTATTCCATCTCAGCGGCTTTTCTCTTAAAGGACACCTGAGGGCACTGTTGGTTTGTGCCCTACAGCCCTGAAAATCTACCACCTCAGAAATGAGGCAAGGCAGCTACTTAAACTACATCAGTAGAACCCAGTGAGCCACAGCTTACAGTGCCCAGAGGAATTCTGGCAAAGTGAGTGAGGTAGATAAGTTAGACGGGCCTGGTTGTGAAAGGAGCCAGGGACCGGAGTGTTCCTGGCCCACAGAGCTGGCCCAAGGTTAAATGCCTTAAACTTGCCAGTCCTGGGCTTGTTTCTACTTTCAGAGGAGAAAGTCTGCCCTCCACTTACTCAGCCAGGCTAGAAGTGCCTTTTGACTTACAATGTTAACTATCCTCCAGAGTCTCCGAGTCAAGGAGGCTGTGCCATACTCTCTCCCCAATCTTCTGCAGCTCAGAGGACTGGGGATTTTAGTCTTCCAGCTCTTCAACTGATCTTCTGACTTGGACATAGGGTTTCACTGGAACTCTTAGGCTTCCTAGTCTGGAAATAGTTTTTGGGTCTGTCTTCTCACAACTGGATGGCCTTTTTTGTGGATTTATTACAGAATTTAGAAACAAGACCAGAAGAGGAGGTTGGGGGCATGGCACCTGAAATTTTAGCCTCCATTCCTGTTTGTGAGAAGGGAAGTGTGTACTTAATGTCCTTTTATGTCTGTCATGTACTCCTCACACTCTCAGGTCAGAGACTGATGGGAACTCCTTGTTTGTGAACTTTTTTTCTTGAGGCATTTTGCTTATCAAGTGTGTATAAAATATTTTCCACCCAAGAAAGCAGCCTAATTCTTAGCTAATTTAAGCAGCAGGACTACAGGAAGCACTAAGCCTGGTACTTAAACGGGGGGTTGTCCTTTTGGGGAGGCCTGTTGGTAGTGATGCTTCCACTGTTCCGGATGTGCCTGAAATGCCTCTCTGCTTCTCAGCGAGCTGACAGCCTTTTAGCTCAGGCTCGTTGCTTATTGCCACCCCTCTGGGGTCCAGGATGGTACTGCTACTATCCAGTTTATTCACCAGACTTGCCTCCAGACATCTTCCAGCTGTTTCAGAAATCAGTGCTTTCCCATCGAGGAGCATGTTACAGAGCATTTCCCACAGGCTCTAGAGATGTCACAGAGGACTGCCCCATGCTGTTTGGTACAGGGGCAACAGTGTCGGACTGACTGGAGCTCTCCGGCAGGCTGCTTCAGAAAGAACACTCATTTGACTAGATGCATTCTTGGCTGTCTTAAAAAAAAAAAAAAAAAAGTCTGGTAGCCTCATAAACCTATCTCAATGCCCATGAATGTTCTTCACTTACTGAGGGTAGGCCTTGGATTTTAAGGCTTTCTGTTTCCTGGGCCACCATGGGTGATACTATAAATAGAAGGAATCTGGGGTTTTTAGGGGCTTTGGGCTGTGTAAGAGTAAACACTAAAGTTTGAGTTTTAGCCAGTTGACAAGCCTAGAAATCTTTGAAGAATGTAATGCAAGAAGGAAAAGGAAGAATGTAAAGCTTTCTGTACTGAGAGTAGGAGTCTATGGCACTTGGCCAGCCAGTGGGACCAACATGGGCAATAACAAATGCTTCTCCCTGTGCATGAGCCTCTGAAAGGGGCATTTCACCTCCATGGTCCACTCTGAGGGGCACTGCCAACTAGAGATTAGCTCATGGGGCTGGAAGAAACCCTTTGCAGTAGTGAGTATCCCACCTGCTGTGCGTTTGCCAGGATGCATGGATAGTAGGGTAGTGGATCCCCATCTGGTTCACAAGCATAAATGAGACCTTTGCATATCGAAAGAGGAATGAGGACAGATTACTTTCCTACCTTTGAGCCTTTGGGGATAATCAGCACGGAATGTTAACAATTATTTGAAACATTTTCAGCTCCCTCGTTGAATTCCTATCCTATCCCTGAGGACTCAGATGGTCAAGAAGCCATAGGCACCCACCCCAAATTTCACCAGTAGTTAGAGTGACACTAGAAGTAAAAACCTGAGTATATGGCTCCTTTGCCTTCTCAGAGGCTCCAGGAGGAGAGGTTGGTTGCACTGGTTGTGTTAAATGTATAACAAGCCATATATTCTTCTGTTTTCTCATTTCCAATGTTTCTGCTGTGTGAATGAAGTGTGCAAATTATTTGAAAATCTTGGAAGGAGGTACTTTTCGAAAACAGTATTCTTTTCAAGCAATAAACTATTTTTACAGCACTGTTTTTGCCAAGAGTTTTGAAATCACTTGTGTACATAGGGAAGTGAAGATTAAATGCCTGCCCTCAAGTCATTCAGCAACACAGGATCAGCACTTGAAATCTCATCTTTTGCTTTGCCTTGACTATTTTAAGAACCGTCCTGGTTGGAGCATAACAACTAGACTCACGTAGCATTAGAGCTAGCAGGGACTATTAAAGGCGTCTGCTCACACTTCTTATCTGGTAAGTAACTCCACCCTGCCAACTACCCATGAAGAGCCCTTCTGTCATAGGGAGTTCTGTCTTGGGGTAATTCTACTTTAGGGACTGCTGAGATTATCCTATTAAGGAAAAATTTGCCTCTCTGTCATAGTTCTGTAGTGCCCATCTTACCCCCACTTTATGTTAGAATAGCCGGTTTAGGTCCTAAGTACCTTCTCAGGTCTTCCCCATGATAACATTTGGATAGGAACTCAAACCCAGCTCAGCAGGATATAGTAAGTGTTGACTAAGACTTGCAAAGCTTCCAGTGAGGAAATGCTGAGGGTTCACAGCACCATTGGGCAGATGAGAAAAAGGTGCCTGCTCCAGATGGGAACACACCTGGGCAGAAAGATGGTGCTTCTCTTGTGATTTAGAAAGCAACACCTCTGTGTCCTGGGGCACAGCATGGCAGGCAAAACCCCACTGATCCATTCAGCCAGCTATTGTACAGCCATACTTTTTTTTTTTTTTTAAGATTTTATTTATTTGACAGTACAAGCAGGGGAAAGGGCAGGGAGAGGGCGAAGCAAGCTCCCAGTTGAGCAAGGAGCCCTATGCAGCGATCAATCCCAGGACCCCGGGATCATGACCTGAGCCGAAGGCAGACGCTTAACAACTGAGCCACCACCCAGGCGCCCCTGCTCAGCCAAACTTCTTGGCCCTGCTTAAACTATTTGTCCTGATTCGGAAAAGCGCTCTCCAATAGATTTCCGGTTTCCATTTTTACCTTCCATTTGGTCCAAAAAAGGTTGCTCCTTCAAGCCCTTGAGAAGTTTATCTGCTCCATTTTTTCTTCATGATACAGGGCCCCGTTTCTGCACGTTACCTTTCATGCACCAATGCTGCCAGACCTAAGCTCCCCCTGCTCCTGGCAGCCTGGGCCCGTGTTCCCTTCCGGTAGCCGGCTGTCAGCCCTGGTGCTCTCTCACGGGGTGCCAGCATCTGACCGGCTTCTTAAGAGTGCCACATACACTTTGGGTATGTAAAAAGTGTTCCCACCCTTTTTATCATGAAAACAATGTCCAAGAAGGCACCCTTGGCCTGTACATTTTGGTGAAGCCGATGGTTATTTATTCCCACACAATCCTGTTTCCTCTTCCCAAATTGCTCTGGGTCTCCAGTCTGCCTTTTCTTTACCATTACCTGGCCATGTGTGACCATGGATATCCATTGGTCTCCGTGGCCTTGTTTCAAGTAAGTGTTCATCAGCTAGGAAACAGGTTTTGGACACTGACTTCTGGACAGTATTCTGTGTACCTGGAGCCTTGAAAATAAAAAGTATCTCATGAAAGTAGCCCTCCTCCAGAGTTTGCTGAGCCGAAGGAAGCATAAACCCAATCGCGGGCGCTTGAACTTAACAGCCAAGGCTTTGTGCTCCCTTCTTCGCGGACCCGCCTCGCCTAAGACAGAGGCAGGCAAGGGGCACCGCGCTGAGGGAGGTTCCCCCAAGTCTTACTGTCGGCCGGTCCGGGCTGCAAAAATGTGCCCAGCGGCGGAGGGAGGCTTCCTCCAGCCTTGTGCGCGATGCCGATCACAGCGGCGCGGCTCCGGAGCTTCCCGCTCCCCCGAAGCTTCCACCGCAGAAACAAGGTACGCGGGACGACGGGCTTCTCGGAGTCGGAGCCTCAGCCCGAGTACCACGCCACAGCCCTCGGCTGGCTCTCAGGGCCCCAAAGTCGGGGCACCGCCCACGCTTCCACCGCCACTCGGGCGCGGGGGCTCGGGAGTTGTAGTCTCCGGCCGAGCGCGGGCGCGGGGACCGGGGCGGCGCGGACTCCACGTCCCGGCGGGCGGCGCGGCGCGGCTGGGGCGCCAGGGGCGGGGCCGCTCGGCCCTTTAAACCTTCCAGGGCTGTTCAGAGGGCCGCAGCCAGAGACGGCGCCACGCGGGGCCGAGCAGGGCGCGGCGGCGGCGGCGGCGGCGGCGGGGCGCTCCGGGGAGGTGCGTACTGGGCCCCTTCGTGTCCCCGGCCCTCGGGGTGGGGGGATCCTCTGGGGAGGCTCGCGTTCCCGGCTCCCGTGGGGGCTCCGTACGCCCACGCGGGCGGGGGCCGGTCTGGGCTTCCTGCGCGAACCCGCCTCTCCCCCGGGGCGCCGGCGGTCAGGTGTTGCCTGCGCGCGGCCGCCGCTCCGCCGGGCCCCGCACCCGCCCGCAGGCTCTTCTTGGCGCGGCCCCTTGGACGGCCCTGACTGCAGCCCCTCCCCCAACCCGGTCCCTCCGGCGTGGGAGCGGGACTCCCCCCCCCCCCCCAGATGTTTCGGCCCCGCCTGAGCATCTGGGGCGCACCGGTGGCATTCGGGTGGAACGCGGAGGCCCACGGTGGAGGCCAGAAGGTGTCCACGTTCTGGCGTGGGCTCAGCCCCAAATGTGGGCGCTGTGAATCAGGTGTTGACCACCTTCTCCCCCCACCGGCTGCGGCCAGTCACTGGACCCTGGACTTTGATCTGTCTCTCTCCACCAGGCCTGGGCCGCTGATGGTTTTGGCGAAGTATCTTAAGGTAGCTGGGCCAGCCCCCTCTTTCCCACCTACCTCTTGTCCTTCCCCCTACACCACCCTGGCTCCCCTCCCTCATGACCGCCTGGATCCTCCTTCCTGTCAGCTTGTCAGCATTCTCCATCACGGGCCTATGGACTGTGTGAGTAAAGAGGGGGAGGGGGAGGGCGACTAAGGGACAAAATGGGCCAAGGCTGAGGAGGGCTGGGGCCCAGCCAGGACCCAACAGGAGCTCAGTGACACACAGAGTCCCTTGTCCTGCTGGGGGCTCCAGGGTGGTACCCAGGATCACTCTAGCTGTCTCCCAAGCCTGGCCTGGTGCCTGGGCACACAGCCCCTTCGGACAAGCTGGCACCACTGCTGTCCAGTAGGGTGACCCTGACAGACCTTCCATCCAGGGCCACTTCCAGAGGTCCTCGAGTGTGGGGCCGTGCTGTGGGTTCTCGTGTGGTATCAAGCTTCAGGGCCACCTCAACTTGAGTCCCCAGCAAGAACAAAGGCTGAATGGGGCCAGAATCAAGAGAAAAGAGTCCGTGGGGGCAAGCTGGGCTGGGAGGGCCATGGGTGTGGGGTGACCATTCTGCCTCCGCAGGTATGCCATGGCCGTGATGAACCGCCACGCATGCCCTGTGGAGAACTGGTATGGCGCACTCTGCAGACAGCCTCCCTCTAAAGCTCCCTTCATCTCTGTTCCCTCTTGGGTCGGGGCAGCTGCGAGCCAGACGGAGACCCTGGGCCTCACAGCTCTTACCTGACATTGGCAACGCCTGCCCTTCCCCAGGCATGGCTCCATGCCCATCTACCTGTTTCCCACCATCCCTTCACCCCTTTGGCTTCTGTCTCAGGCGGGTTCTGGGAAGTGGGCTCTTCTGTCCCTGCCAAGGGAAGTCTGGAAGGGTGGTCTCTGAGGGCCTGAGGCTCTAGGCCCAGAAGCTGGGAGAACCCCCTTTCCCCCAGTCTACTCTCTGTCCTGCCTACCAGGTCCTACAACGAATCCTGCTCTCCTGACCCCGCTGAACAAGGGGGCCCAAAGACCTGCTGCACCCTGGATGATGTCCCCCTCATCAGGTAAAGTCTGGAAACTGGGCAGGTCAGGGAGACCCAAGCCCCTCAGGCAAAGACCTGTCCCCCAGTCTCAGGAATAATGAGTGTATTAAGATCACTTAAGAACAATTCTCTGTGCCAGTCACTATGTGCCAGGCACCGTGCTGAGTGCTCGATGTGCATAGCGCCATTTAATCCTGCCATGACCAGGCACCTCCTGTTTTCACCATCTTGTAGGCAAGAAAACAGACTGAGGTGTGTCATCGGTCCAGGTCACACAGCTAGTAAGTGGAGGCACCTGGACTGAAGCTCAAGCCCTCTGATTGCCCAGCCCCGGTTCTGGCTCCAGGGAAGCCAGACTGGCTGCAGACCTTGACAATCTCAGGGAGTCCAAGGAGTCTCAGGCTCTGCCAAGCAATCCTGGGCACTCCCTTACCCATCATACACATGAGCTCTGCTCTGGGGGAGGGCCCAGCCTGGGGCCCGTTGTTTGTGTACACAACGGGCCCTTCTCATAAATCAGTGGCTTGCCTGCTAAGGAACAGGCACAGATAAAGCAAGAGACAGATGGGCCAGAATGGGGGTGCTAGTACTCCTACCCCTCTCTCACTCTGTCCTTGCCCCCCACCCCCAGCAAGTGTGGCACATATCCCCCAGAGAGCTGCCTCTTCAGCCTCATTGGCAACATGGGTGCTTTCATGGGTGAGTTGTGCCCTCAGCCCCCCTAGCCAGCCCAGTCCAACCCACTCCCCACCCCACCCCCAGAAAGGCCCAGGAAACCCTTGTTCAGTGTAGCCCACCCCACCAAGGGCTAAAGCAAGAAGGGCCACTTCTCTCCTGTTCCTTTAACAAGAGCCAAAGGCTCCCACACAGCCACCCTGCTGGCCAGAGCCTGAGGAAACCCAGTTTACCTGCCCTTCTATTCCCTTTCAGCCCTCAGGAGTGTCTGGCGGGGGTGGGGGTGGGGGAGTTGGTGGGAGGAGGGCCCCAGTGCCGGCCCCACCTGTGCTCTCTTCCCCCAGTGGTCCTGATCTGCCTGTTGCTCTACGGGCAGCTCCTGGAGCAAAGCCGTCACTCCTGGGTTAACACCACAACGCTCATCACGGGCTGCACCAACGCTGCGGGCCTCGTGGTGGTCGGCAACTTCCAGGTGTGCCCCCTGCCTGCCTCTTGAACTTTTACTAACGGGGCCTGGCTTCTGCCGGTGCCCTCAGTCCCCTGAGGCTGACCCCATTTGCAGAGACAGCCCTTCAAGGCTGAGGGTGGGGAGAGAGGGGCTGGGAGGGAAGGGGGCGGGGGGAAGAGGGGTCGGGGGGCTGCCTCACAGATCAGCCCCTGTCTCTGGGCCCAGGTGGATCATGCGAAGTCTCTGCACTACATCGGAACTGGTGTGGCCTTCCCCGCCGGGCTGCTCTTCGTCTGCCTGCACTGTGCCCTCTCCTACCATGGGGCCACTGCCCCCCAGGACCTGGCTATGGCCTACCTGCGGATTGTACTGGCAGCCATCGCCTTTGTCACCCTAGTCCTCAGTATCCTTCCAGGACGGGGCAGCCAGGAACTCCTCCTCTAGCCCAGCCTTTCCCCACCCAAGACCCGGGGGGTGGGGGTGAGGGGCGGGGGGTGGGCGAGAGCCTGGCACACACATATCCAGAAAATACTGCCCAGTGCGGTTTCCTTCCTCCCCTCCCAGGTGGGGAGACCTGGCTCTTTGCCCCAGCTTAGCTATCTACCTGGGGAGACAGGGCTGTCACCAGCCGCCGCGTGTCCCACTGAACACTTCCTTAGCCCCATGCCAGGCGGTGTTTTCTTTATGCATGAGAGCTCTCAGCTGCAGCACGGGGCAGCCCTGTGCGAGTGGGTGTTCGTGATCGACATCCTCATCTTCTACGGCACCTTCAGCTACGAGTTTGGGGCAGTCTCCTCAGAGACGCTGGTGGCCGCGCTGCAGCCTGCCCCTGGCCGGGCCTGCAAGTCCTCCGGGAGCTGTAGCACCTCCACTCACCTCAACTGTGCTCCTGAAAGCATCGCCATGATCTGAGATCTGGGGAGGGTGGCTGGCCCAGCCTCAGCAGCTCCCCACCTCTTAACTTCGCATTTATTTTGTACCAAAAACGATTTTGAGAAAGTATTCTGCTGGGATACAGGCTTCCTTGCTGCTGGAGGAATGGCCATCCCACACCCACCTGTGCCATAGTGGAGCGGGCCTGGCAGCAGCCTGGGCCACACACAGGCTACTCCCCGACTCTGCAGTGTTGTTTTTATGTTTAAAGGTCACATATCCTCACTCACCCAGCCGGCCCTTCAGGTGCCTTCTACTCCCCAGTGCCAAGGCCACACCACTGGGGTTTCCTGCTGCAGGAATTGGGGGCTGGGAACAGCAAGAGGGACAGAAGTCTGTGGGAAGGCCCACTTTTGGGCCCACTGAGGTGCACTGGGATTCTTCACTCTGCCCCTTACTTTCTTTTGGGCAAGTAATACAGCAGAACCACATGGGTATTTTAGTACTTTTTTTTTTTTAATCTATTAAAAGAATTCTAATTTGCATGTTTGTAGTATGTTCTAAAGAATCAAGGGAGGGCCTAAGCAGGACGGCTTTCCCTAGGCAAAGGATGGGAGGAAACCCCTGCCCTCAGGGAGAGTCTGAGTGCCCAATGCTCTTTGAGAGCAGGGCTGCTAAGAATAAAGGATGCCTGGTGCCATCCAAATACCCCTCAAGGGCTTGAAACCCTTTCTAGGCCTTTAAACTGTCTGAAGAATTGGCATGATCCTTCCCCCACTCAGAGTGTGGTTTGAAGTTGGCTTCCTTAGTAAGGGATATTGGGCGGTGGGGGGGGGGGGGGGTGGTCATCCATAGAACAACTTTAAAATGCTAGAAGCAATTTTCACAATGAAGCTAAAGAAAGCCTGTGGGATTCCAAGGTTGACTAAAAATTGCAGGGGAGAGAGATGTAGGCTAATTTTTCTTTACCATCTGTAAGTAGCCATTGGATGCCAGACCCTGACCCATTTTGCTTTCCAACGATGAGCACATAGGCCCAAGCACTGGCTGGTCTAGTGGCCAGGTTCTTGACCTGGGTTCCACTGCTCTCAGGCCAGTAGGCTTGGCAGGAAGGGACACACAGCCTGGTGCTTTCTGTGGTTCAGGCCTCTCTTCCCCAGTAGCAGTAGGGACCTTATGGAGGGTGCAGAGGCCCTGCCCAGGCCTGTGAGCAATGCAGTGCAGGGTGGGTAAAGAAATCTTTAATGAGGATTCAGGTGCAAGAGGAAGATGCTGTGGCAGACAGGTGCTCCGCCCCAGGCACCTCATGTGTACATGGCTCCATGGAGGTTCTCAAGTCGGTGCTTTTGCTGCTGCTTGCGAGCCTGAAGGAAAGAGGGCACACTGGGCATGGGCCATACCTGAAGGCCTGTGGGTGGAGCGATGGGACAGCTATCATGGGGCTGCCTATCACTGTGTTCAGGCCCCTAGCATATACATTGCCAAGGCTCTTGTCCCTTGCCAAAGTCACCAGGAAGACGACCAGAGCCAGGGACCCTGAGGCCGACCCAGGGCTACTAAGGTAGGGAATGAGAACACTGAGGACAGGGACTGGGGAGTCCCCATTACCACCCGACCTCTCCACTTACCACCAGCCCCTACCTTATCTCGTCTGTGCTCCTCATAAGTGTCGTCATCAGTCGGCAGCTCATGGCGGCACAGGGGACAGGAATTTGTCTGAGAAAAGGAGGGCAGTGTTCCAGCCCAGGTCTGGTCTTCATCAGCTAATATCATTCCCCTGCTCCCAGTTCCCACCCCTACCCCTCTCCCTTCTCTGATCCCCTAAAAGTCCATAAACAGAAAGAGGCTTGAAAACGGGGCCCAGGGCAGGGTGAGGGCTGAGAGAAAGGAAGCAGTACCTTGCTTAGCCAGGGTAGAATGCAGTTGGAATGGAAGAGGTGATGGCAAGGCATCTCAATGGCAGTCTCCTCCTCCTCAAATTCCAAAAGACACACGGGGCACTTGAGCTCTTTAGGAGGGAGTGCTGATCAGGAGAGCTGCTACAGGCCCTACCTCCCGGCTCCCACTCCTGAAGGACATTCTTGCCCCAGCCTGACCTGGAAAACTGAAGGGCTAGACCAGTCTAGCTTGGGAGGGGGTGGGTCTGGCACGCCTGCGCCAAACAGCAGTAAGAATTAGTGTTCTTACCAGCCTGAGAGCCCCTGATGACTGTCCTGGGAAGGTTCTCAACCACAGCCTTGGCAGCAGGTGGAGGCAGGTGGTGATCCCAATCTACTACCAACCCCAAGTCTTCAAAGTCCATCCTATTGAAAAGTGACCTGGGAAGAATGACGCATGTTCAGAACCAAAGAAAACCATCCCTTCTCTTTGCCCCCACAATCCACTAGGCATTAACAGATAAATACCCTGAACAGCTAGTACTAACAGCTACCCCACAAAAGTGCTCAGTAGATCAAAAGCACAGTGGGAAATGGTTTGGAGTTGCTATAAGACAACCCCAAGCATGCAAGCTGTTTAGTCCCATTTTACACATGAGGCAACAGGCTCAGAAAAGTTACTCAGGCCAAGTGGAAATGACCCGGTAAAGCCAGATTCCAAGTGGCAGTCTGGACTTCCGTGCTTGTTCCTAACGAATGTACCTACTCACACCCACAAGGCCTCTCTCCTGACCCCATGACCCGTCTTCTCCCGTAGCTGCTAGAACCGGCTACCGTCCCACTCCCGACTCCCCCCTATTCGCCAGCTCCAGTCTTTCCCACAATCCCCTTGCCCGGCCCAACCACGGATGATCCAAATTATCGACCTTCCTCGAATCTCGTCTCCGGACTAACTCTCCAGATTATTCATCCGTCCTCCCCAGAATCTCTGCCCCATATAATCCGCCCTCTCCAGCCAGCCCCAGCCCAGAAACCTGATACCTGGGCCCCCACCTCCCAGCACCGCGCACCCACCTTGCGAGCTCCAACAGCATATTGGTTCGGGCCTCCTGCTCCGAATCCAACGGCTCGCAATCGTGCTCATCGAAATAGGACGCCATGGCAGCCGGGCTGTCTGACACAGCCTTCGCACCCCACTAGACTGCGGCCCCGCGGAGCTGGCCAATAAGCTGCGGGCCTGAGAGAGGAAGACCAATCAGAGCATCCAAAAGGCGGGCACAGAGGCTCGTTCGGGGCACTGAAAGCGGAAGTATTAACTCTGCTGCCTCTCGTGGCTCGAGTAGATCAGGTGACCAAAGGCTAAAGCCAATGGCAGGGGCTAGGGCCGGTCAGAAAACATGTTTTGGACTCCGAACCTAGGGTAGGCGGTCTGGGAGTGACGTGTGCTTCGCGTCCACAGCGCCCTGGAAAGCCAGATGTCGGGGCTGTAGGGGTCGTGTCAGTCCGTTCTGCGGCTCAGAGGGCCTAGGACGTGAAGATGCTAGAGGCCCTCCAGAGAGCGAGGCGCTGGCGCAGGGGCTCAGGGTACTGCCAGCCTGGAATCACGGCGTTTCCCGCTGCTCTGCCCGGTCCCCGCCGGGTACTTCTGCACCTGCTGCTCCCTAAGTGGTTCAGGAGTTGGCTCTTGATTCCCCTCTGACCCGCAAAACAAAAATTTCCTACTTATCTCTTCTGTGTTAGGCACAATAAAGGGTGGGGCAAAACTCCCCCACCGAGGGAGGGAAGAGCCCTGCTGGGGAATCTGGGGCCTTACCCTCACATGGGACTATGTGTGTGACCTTCAGCCCCTTGCGCAGCCTCTCCCCGAGCTTCCGAGAAATCAGTGGCTTGAATTCAATAAGCGGTTTGCCTCCCTGGCTACCCATGACTATTCTGGAGAGAGAACGAGGGGTTGCAGCTTTAGGGGGAAATGACCCTGCATCAGATACTTACCCTCAAAGAGTCTGATTTAAGTGATTTAGGCCCCGTAAGGAAGCTGTGTAGGCCAGTGGCTAATGGATGGTGCCCAGACATCCCACAGACTTGGATTTAAATCTTAGCTCTGGTACTCACTGATCTAGGCCTAGGGGTAGTATTTTTAGAAGTTCTGCAGGTGATTCTAATGTGAGGCAGGGTTGAGAACTGCACTAAATGATTTGGATGATAGCTATCATTTATTTGGCATCTAGAACCATTACATTGACGGATGTTTTACACACAACATAAGTAATCCTCACAATTGTTCTGGGAGTTAAGTATGTCCCCTTTTACATATGTAAAACCCAAGCCTCAGAAGTGGCTTGCCCAAATTCACATGGCCTTTAAGTGGTGTTGCTGACCAACTACAGGGCCAAGTGTTTTCCCCCATCTTTCCGAAAAGAAGATGGTAATGAGCCCCGTGGAAGTAACAAGTTCTGTGAGAGGTAAAGCTCCACACAGCTCTCAGCTTTGTTCTTGTTTCTCTGTCAGAAGCCCTCACTTTACCTAACAAGGAACTGCTTCTGTTGTTACACACTTGACTCTGAATTCCCCTTCCACCCACACTTGACTTTGAGGTGCAGTCAAATAGCCCAGGCAGAGACTGCCCAGATCCCGCAGTCTTTCTTTCTTCCATGGCCTTTTACCCAGTCATCTTTCCTGTGACCCTGAGGCCCTGCCAGCTTAGCCCTGTGTGGCCCTGGAACTTTGAAAAGGCCAAGATCTTGCCTACAGGGCAAACTCTAGGCTATCCTTTGTGATGGTGCGTTACAGCACGGGAGAAGCCCTTCCCATGTTCACTGCTATTGGCCTCATCTGTAATCAGGTGTAAAGCTTGAGGAAGAATGTAGGAGAGAAATTGAGGTCGGAGTGTTCAGAGAGGGAAAAGTCTATTTAAAAATGAGAGGCTTGGGGGGGGGGCCTGGGTGGCTCAGTTGTTTAATCAACTGCCTTCGGCTCAGGTCATGATCCCAGGATCCTGGGATGGAGTCTCGATGCAGGACTCGATCCCGGGACTCCGGGACCATGACCTGAGCTGAAGGCAGTCGCCCAACCAACTGAGCCACCTAGGCGCCCCTAAAATCTTTTTTTTTTTTTTAAGTGAGAGCCTTGTGAGATAAAAAAAACCTTTGAGGTGCTTTCCTCTTCTGGAGTCCTATTCTGAGCATCCTCAAGACATCAGAAAAAGAATAGAGTTCATTCTGAAGGAAACAGGCTCAGAGGGCCCTGGTTGTGAAGGGTCTGGTTTGGGAGCCACTCTGTCTTTGCACCTGCACTCCAGAAGGATCTGTCTGGGTAGGGTTGGATAAAGTACAGAAGGAAAAGGAAAGGGGCCACCTCCCAGGGGTGAAGTCCTTCTACCGACTTTTTAAGCAACCCCAAGAGTGGAGGCAGAGCAGGATGAACCAACATGGAGAGCTTCACACTCACACACTCACACACACACACACACACACACACACACACACCAGCTTTTAACCAAGCAGCAACTTTTAACCAAACAGCAGCTTTTACTGAGCTCCAAGTGGGGCCGGCCTGGCAGCGGCCAATGCAGCAGGCTGCCCGCAAGGGCCAGTCTGTGGCGTGGTAGGCGATGCAAAGGTGCACATATCAGGGTTGCTCTTCAGTGCTCAGTTGGGTGGCTCAGATGGGAGCAAACGCCAGGGTTCTCTGGAGACCAGGACCAGCCAGTGCGGCCACTCGGCCTCTCCTCCAGGCCCGGCTGGGTCAGTCCCCAGGCCCTGAGGCAACGCCTGCGTCCTGGGCCTGTGGGGCACTGCTGCCCCCACTGCCCTGTGGGAGAAAGATGGCCAGCAGCACAATCAGGAGGACGAGCAGGCCACCGCCCACCACCAGCCCCAAGTAGATCCGGCAACGAATGTTCTCCCAGCGCTTCTTCTGGGCCAGGGTCTTGGTTGTCTTGCTGAAGGCTGAGCTCTGTGAACATCCCCAGACATAGGGTGGGAGTTAGTGGTTTCCCTGGAACCCCAGGGCCAGGTTCTCCCAACCCCCCACCGCCCCCCGACCCCAGCAAGGCCTAATTTGTATCTTCCCAGCCTCTCTGCTCCCCTTCTCTACATCGCCCACCCTGGGACCCTCCCAACCTGACTCCTGGTCTCAGACACTGTGTAGCCCTGGACTCGCACCCCTACAGGCTCACGCCCAGTTAACAATACCAGCCCTCAACCTTCAGGAAGGTCCACGGCTTCAAACCAAGGACTTTTGACTTCATGAGGCCTATCTGGAGCTAATCTAGGCTACAAACCCATAGGTCCCACACTGGCCCTCAGGCAAGCCTCAGGCCCCACCAAGGGCCTAGAGACCCTGAGCACAGCCTGAGAACTCTCTCTGAGGACTCCCCCTCGCCTCTCCCACCCCCATCCCTGCTTCCCCAGGCCTCACACCATGTCCAGCAGTTGGTCTGAACGCTGCTCCAGTTCCGCCAGTTTCCCATCGCGCTCCAGGACCTTGTCAAAGTTGTTGAGCATGATTTCTGTCACTTCATCCGCCTGCCGCTGGCACCGTTCCAACTCTGTCCCTGCCTGGGCACCAAGCCCAAGGTCAGAACCGCATGAGGCCCCCAGCCGGCCCTCATCTGATCCTGAGACCTAGAGGTCTCCTTGCCCCCTGCTGTGTGTGGGGGGGCATGTATGGGTAGGGTGAATAGCATCTTTCAGGTAAGGGTATGATATGTATAGAGTGAAGGACTGGTCTCCTGAGTGTGTGTGGCTTGCCTCTGATCTCACAGATTCCTCTCTGTGCCCATCAAGGCAGGTCCTAGGTCAGCCTTGGCTACAGCATCTCAGTTTCCTCTAAGATGCCCCCGGATGGAAACTTCCCAGGATCTCACCCCACCCCTGCCCCACAAAGCAGATACTTTCCTCACCTGCTCTAGGATGACTTCTACCCTGGGCTTTGGACCACCACACATCATAACCTCTGCCTAACCCCACAGACACACAGAAACCAACTGAAAAGATCAGACCTCCTTCTGACTAGTCAGGCCAGTTCTGCCTCCTGACATGACCCTACTCCCACATCAGTGCTCAAAATTGATTCCCTGTCTGCCTGTGAAACCTCAGCCTCCTTGGCCTCTGGCCTCAGCCTTCCAGCTACCCAGGATCTTCCCTGGGGTCCAACTCACAGAGATGAGACCAACACTTAGACCTCTCAGCTTTAGCAGCAACCACACCTGACAAAAGAACCCAGCTCATTTCAGAGGACTAAGAAGGGAGGCGCAGGGTCCAAGCGTGGGAGGGGTAGGGAGTGCTGAGAGAACAGGGGAGAAGAGAGCATGTGTCACAAGCAAGAAAGGGGCTGGGCTTTGGACACAGGCAACTGAGAGAGACCCAAGGCAGGAGGCCCCAGTAAGAGCTGGAAGTCCAGGAGCAGGTCCAGGGACGAGCAGCTGAATCCCAGCAGATTAACAAACCACAGCAGCTCCCTCCTCCCAGCCTAGTCCGCTGCAGCCCATCCCTGTTCTCATCTCCTCCCCACAGAGCACTGGCCAAGCTCCTTTTCCTGCCAGACCACATTGCCCATTGTCTGCAACAGACATTTTGGCACTTGACTGAATTCCACTTAAAACCAGAGAAAGGGGAAAGATCTGGTGGTCACAGAGGGCCACTCCTACTCAGGCAAGAATTCACATTCAGGATCCTTGCAGCTGCCTTGCACACAGCCTGCAAGCATTCCCAGTATATGAGTCCTATCTCCCCAACTGGACCACAAGCCCCAGAGGAAGGGACTACCTTTGTCTGCTCCCATCCCGGTGGCCCAGGGGGGCTAGCACAGTGCTGACCATTACAAGGACTCAGTGAGTGGGTCAGTCACATTATAGCTCATCCAAAAGCAATTCTTATTTTCAAGGGATGTCATCCCAGTGTGTTTATCCAGCCCAGCAGGAGTTTCGAGGGGCAGGCATCTGAAACCCAAGTAGGTCAATATTTACCCATGAACTAGAAAAGCAACCTGCTTGGAGAGGGGCAGGCAAACCATGCCAGAGGGGTGCACTCCCAGGCTGGGGAGCAGTGACTGGGGAACAAGGAGCAATAATGCCGAGAGCAGGGGGGCTGCGCTCATCTGTACATTGTCCTCAGTCAGCCATCATCAGCACTATTCTCACTACCGTGGTAGTCAACAAACTCCCACAGCCCATGTTCACACAGTCCCAGGCATCCCCACCTTCATAATGGGCCAGGGCCAAAACCTGAGAATGGGCAAAGCTTCCAAATGACAATCACGGCTAGAGGTTGGTGGGATGCTGAATATTATTTTTTCCGCTATGAAAACCACAGCTGTTGTTCTCTGATGCTCCAACACGGGATGGCACTGGGTCACATTCTCCAGGAGACCTGGCTGTGCTTCTTGCTGCGAAGCCAGGCCTGTCCGGGCTGAGGTGGGACCGGGCCAAAATGAACACATTCGCTCCAGGGAACACAGAGGCCTCAGGCTTAACCCCCTGGCCCTCCTTGGCCTCCCTGAACCAGAGGAGAAAGGATACTACATGCACAGGTCTCTGCTGGCACGGGGAGAAATGAAGAACTACAGGATGGGGATGGAGGTAAGGGACCAGGGGACAGGGCCACGCTCCGTCCAGCCGTAGTGAACTCGGCATAGTGCCTGGCACACAGTGGACACAGGGAAAAAACATTTCTGAATGAGTTGTGCCTGTTCCTAAGAAGCTCACTATAGGCTGGGGGAAAGGGACATATGTGACACGGGTAGGGAAGAGTGGAGGGTTGTGCGGTGAGGTGCCAACGCTGAGGGTCGGAGCCCCCCTCAGAGAGCGGATTCCCCGGGGGGAGGAGCCCTTGCAGGACAGGGCGGAGCTGGGGCATTCCGCAGGGACAGACCAGGCCGAGGGTAAGGGCGGAGGGGCAGGGTGGGACCAGCGAACACACAGAATGGAAGTCCAGAAGAAGACACTCACTGGACGGAAGACTGGAACAAGACCTAGTGTAGACTTCTGAGCCCAGGGGGACAGCGGAGGGGGGCTTCAGAGTAATTTCTCTAGGGACGCCTGGGTGCCTCAGTCGGTGAAGAATCTGCCTTCGGCTCAGGTCATGATCACATGGTCCTGGGATGGAGCCCAGCATCGGGCTCCCTGCTCAGTGGGGAACCTGCTTCTCCCTCTGCCTGCCGCCCCCCCCTGTTTGTGCTGTGTGTGTGTGTGTGTGTGTCAAATAAATAAAGCATAGAGATGAAGGGGGGCTGAGAGGGGTGCATCGCAGCCCTGCCTGGGGTCTGCAGGGCTGAGGGGGCACGGTGGAGTGCGGAGCAGCCGCGTGGTTGGCAGACAGGGGGTGGCAGTTACACGGGAAATGTTCTCCACAGACCATTACCCTCTGTACAGAATATCCCACCTACAACCCTCAAATAGTTCCGGTGTTTCGAGGCCACATACCCTTGGTTCCTCTGAAAACAAAGCTCTCCCAACCTCCCTGTCCTAAGTCTCCTGTCTCCCTTCTCTCCTGGCGGGTGCCAAACAAACCCTGTTGCAGCTGTTACCACTGTCCTAGTCACAGGACAGGGGGCAGCGAAGGGGTGTACCAGCTCCTTCCTAGGTCAGCATTCACCTGAGCTCAGAGCTAAGGGCCGGGGCTCTGCACTGCAGCCCTGGTTCCCTCAAATCTTGCCTTTGCCCCTCACCTACTACGAGACCTTTCCGACCCTCCACCTCCTCATCTGTAAAGTGGCGACAAGAATGATATCTACCACGTTAGCTAACGCATGTGACCTGTTACAAAGTGCTTAGCACAATACCTGACACGTACTAAATGCTCAATAAATAATAGCTATTATTGTGGATGGAGCCAAAGTTTCCCTCGCTGATTTTTTTTTTTTAAGCAATCAGATCTCAAGAACTGTTCAATACCTGTGATCAATAAAACCTCTTAAATAATTTTACAAAATACCCAGACAAGCAAGCTCTTCCTTATTGCAAACGTGTGCACTTGTCTCTAACCTAAATACAGAACATCACCTGGGCCTTCAATAAGCTGCAAGGAGTTTATGTCCACCAGGCACTGCAGGCTGTTGAGAAGGTTCTAGGTCTTGACGGTGAACACAGCCACCATCCAATGGGCACATACTCTGAGCTAAGCATGGTGCCTGCTGTTTGTTCACCTGATCTTATTTAATCTTCGCAACAATCCACTGAAGGCATGCTATTATCCCAGTTTTATAAAAAACTGAGGCTCAGAGGGGTTGAATCACCTGTCCAAGGTCATACAGCCAGTAAGTAGACGATCCGGGAGTGGAACCAGTGTAGACTCCAAGAATCACATTCTTAACCACGGTGCTAAAGTGAATGCAGGTAAAGGGGGGTCAAGTCCTTTAGCTGGCTGGCCAAAGACTCCCCAGACTTTTTAATGTGGCCAAGTCAACTTGTGTGCTATATGAGGGAAGCCCGTGGCTCAAAACCCACATTCACTCGACAGTGCAGGAGAGAGGACCATCTATAGGATGAATGAATTCAAGCCCTTACCCATTCAGGTTTCATCTTTCCCATCACTATTTACTCCTGCTCTCTGCCCTATACCTGTCACCACATCTGGCACAGAGGAAATGCCCAAGAAATGCTTGTTGACTGAATGAATCAGAGGAGAGGACGAGGAAGAAAGACCAGGCAGGGAACCGGGTGGGAAGAAGAAAGGGAAAGAGGTGGTGCCAGAGAAAGGGGCAGGTGTGCAAGAAACAGAGGGATGGGGCCAGGAGCCGGGAGGGGAGAAAAATCAAGGTACCCCCGCCCCCCCAGGCTCTGATCCACTGTTGGCCTCAGATGAAGCCCCATAAATTATCCTGGCCTCAGCCTTCACTTCAGGAGTCTCCTCTTCTCCCCAAGTGCTCAAGGCTGACTGGAAGCCCACCCCTAGCCCTGCCTGATCCCTTGCCCTGCCTGATCCCTTGCCCTGCCTGATCCCTTGCCCTGCCTGCTGGGAAGTGGGCTCGGAGCTTTGTCCCATTCTTGGAGCCTCTCTCAGTTTCCTGGCGTGGCCTTAGAGCTCAGTGCAACCTTCCTGCCCCGCTTCCTCTTCCTGCCTCCGGTTCCCTAGAGATGAGGCCATCCAGGCATCATGACCCCCAGCCAGGCCACATCCATCACACCTCTGCCAGTTTCTCCAGGGCAGAAGCTTAAAGCACCAAGCCTGCTTCCTGTCCAGCCTATCTTCCTAGGAGTCCAGGGGATGGAGGAAAGCTACTGGCACCTCCTGTTGCTGACACCTTTGCCTTAGAGATGGCAAGTGGGGACACAGGCCAGAGTCTGCGGCTGGAGTGGGGGATGACTCACCTCAAGAATGTGTCCCTCAGTAGAGGTTAGGAGAGAGCCAGGACTGTGCCATAGTCTGATAACTTCAGGGGAACTTTTATGGTAAACGTCTCCCTTTATCTCTCCGCAGGGAAAGGAGTGTGCCCTCCAATACCCTGCCACAGCGCTGGCAAGGCCTCTACCACCCCATCTGCTCAGGTTTCCAACTCCCAGGCCACACTTGGCTTCTCACGGCTCCGGGCAGGGCTGAAGAGGTCATCACATTACCTACCACTCCTGAGGAGCAGGTTCTGGGTGCCAGGCAGGGCTCTGCCATTTTATCTCCCTTAACCTCGCAAGGACCCACTGAATCAGGTATTGCTGACCCCACTTCACAGATGCGGAAAAGAAGGCTCGGGAAGGTTAAGTGACTGGCCCGGGGTCACAGAGCCAGTAAGTGGCCACCACCAGGATCTCAGCCCGGAGTCTGCCTCCGAAGGCCGGGCTCCTAACCACTTGGCCCAGGGAAGGGGGAAGCCGGAGTCATGCACACTGCGCGCAGGCGGCCAAATTTCCCCTTCCCAGCCTGCGCGCCCCGGGAGAGGCTCTGGCCCCCATCCGGCTCCTGGCCGCGGCCACCTCACGGTGGGGGGGGGGGGGGGACCGGCGCGGGTCCCGGACGACACCCCAGCCCTCGGACTTCAGCCTCCGGCCGCGCACCCCCACATCGCCCTCTGCCCCCCGTCCGGCCGGCTCCGCCCCGCCCGGGCCCTCACCATAGCTGCTGCCGCCGCCTCGCCAGCTCGGGCTCTTCTGTCGCCCAGCGGCCGCGGTGCCAGATACCCGGGAGGAAGCGGAGGGGCGGGGCCGCGGCCGGCGGGGGCGGGGGGCGCGCCTGCCCGGAGCCCGGACCCGGACCGCCGCAAAGCGAAAGCTGCCGGCACCCCGCCCGGCTTCGCACGGCTCCCCCAGCCTCCGGAACTGAGGGCCTCACGCCTGAGCAGCCTGGTGCTCGCGCTGCACGCTGGCCACACGTCGGGGGCCCAATCTGTGACCCGGGCACAGTGGAGTGGGCTCCGGAGCGGAGGCATCGCTCGTTCCACGAGCCTCTGTATCCGTGCTAACGCTGGGCACTGTGCTAGAGACGCCTCGAACAGCCAGCCGGGCCGGGTCTTTGCCACCCGGGTGAGTGCATTCACCGGTAACCCAAACCCAAACCCGACTCCCCGAAGAAAAGTTTAGAACGAAAGAAACTATTCGCAATCAACATTGTGAACGCACTACCTGCCGCTGAATTGTGTATTTCGAAAATGGTACCACTGCCTGTTACAGTTGTATGTACACTTATACAATGTATGTTGTGTGAACAGACCCCCAGGGAGAAGGTGCTAGTTCTGGCTTTTCTGTATTTCCTCTTCACCACAAGGGCAGCTGCAGCCCTGCCCTCATATGACCCTGCTCCTCAGGGGGAGGGAGGATGGGCGAAGCCACCCCTCCAGAGCCTTCCTGAGCTGAATCTACCCATTCTCCCCCTCTCCTCTGCAGGGGAGTCTGAGACACCTGTTCTCTACCCCACCCCATGCCACCCCCACCATCTCAACTGTGGCCCCTCTTGGGGAAGGGGGTTGAGGGCTTCCCTCCTTGGGTTGAACCGTGACAGTACAGCCCACATTCCCACCCTGGGCCATCTAGATCCCAAGGAAGAGGTCTCCCCCAGTTCTGTGGACTTTGAGTCCAGGAATGACCTGAGGAGAGAAGATGATCACAGTCTGATATAGGAGGACAAAGTCTGCCCTGAGGGCTTTTCTGTGCCTTTTTTTTTTTTTTTTTCCTCCCTGGTTTTCAGAGTATGATTCCAGAACCTGACTTGCCAGGAGTCGTCCCAAATCTTGTCTCCCAACCCTATCCCTTCTATACAGGTTGTTTTCAATACTGGAAAGCCCACGGGAGAAACAGGGACAGAGAGGGCAAGAATCCTTTCCCCAAACCAAGACAGGAAAGAGTGACAATGAGGTGGAACCTGGCGGGGAGGAGAGAAGCCCAAAGACAAAGAGGCCCATTGTACATGGAGGGGAAGGAGGGCCATAGGCCCTGTCCTGTGACACTGACTGGGCCCAGCCACGAGCCATGAGAAGAGATGCTCACCCCCTCAGCTGAGACCCGGAGGCCCTGCTAAGTCCCAAAAGGGCAGGGGCAGACAAAAGACAAATAGAACTTTGCAGAACCAGGGGCGCCTGGCTGGCTCAGTCGGAAGAACATGTGACTCTTAATTTCAGGGTCGTGTGTTCAAGCCCCAGGTTGGGTGTAGAGATTACTTAAATTTAAAAATTAAAATAAATAAATAAATAAAAAGAACTTTGCAGAACCAAAAAGGAAAAGTGGCCCAGTTCCTCCAACCCCTCACTCTTGACTGCAACAGGGCCACAGAAGAGAGATGGAAAGAGGCCCTTGCCTGTCTCGGCTAACACTTCCAGCAGAAAAGTAATAAAAGGACATGGCAGGACCCCAGGGGGCACTCTTAGGAGTGTTGCATACCACCCTAAAATGGTTTTGATTTTTCCACATGCCGAGAGCCTCAGAAAATTCTGGTTCTTAAGACCTGTGACAAAGAATGGAAAATAGAGAAGGATGGGGAGACTCCATCTTTCTTCTCCAAACTTACACTCTCCACCCCTCCAACCATGGGGCCTCAAATAGGAGAATCTCAGCCAGAGGGTGTCCCCAGGGAGAAAAGAAATAGAAGAGCCAAAGGCAAAATGGAAGGGGAGAAATTACCTCACATGTGTAGGGATACTGAAAGGTCTTTATTGCCCACCGGCCACCATCAGTTTCCCAGCCCCAGGCTGGGCCTTCTGGGGTCTCTCCAACCAACTCTGAGGGCCCATGAAACATAGCCACAGTCCAGCTCTCTCCTTCCAGGGGGGCCAAGGTGCCTGGGGCAGACAGTGTGGCGGAGGGGCCTCAGAGTGAAGGGCGGGAGGACGCAGTAGCACTCCCTGCAGGCAATGATGGGAGAGAGGGCCCTTTTTGGCACCCACGATGTAGGGTTGCCCTGAAGAGGAGGGCGGGGGCGAGGGCCTCCCTAGGTTGGGATGGCATGGGTGGCAAAGAGCACAATGAAGAGGATGATGATAAAAACAGTCACGCAGATGAGGACAATCATCTTCACGTTCTTCCACCAGAACTTCCGGGCCACCTTCTGCGATGTGGTCTTGAAGTGCTCCGACTGTTGGGGACAAGGCAGAGTGAACCAGTGCCTCCTCCCACCGGAACAAGAGGACAAACAGAGGCCCACATGCTATCCATCCCAATATTTAAGTGAGCAGTTGAGGGAACAGACTGTTACACAAAAAGACTGTGCTGACCTTCTACCTTGACAGATACACCTTCATGACACTCTGATGGGCCAGGCTCAAATTTAGAATTCTTGGGCTTCCCTTGGCCCCCTGCCTCCCCTCTTCTCTTCTTACCCCTGAACCGTCACACACATTGAGGGGCCTTTTACATATGCTCACACCCAAGGGTGCGACACTGTGTACAATCCACCCTTGGGAGGGCACACACTGGGGCCAAGCAGCGCAAGCTCCAGGTGGCTGCATCTCCCTGGGTCCACGACTCCTTGCCCCATGGGGACCGCTGAAGCTGGAGGACAGGCCAGCGCAGCAGGGAGGCTGGAGGTGAGAGAAACTGCTACTCTTCCTCCTCAACTCGAGTTGCAGAAATTACATTTCCCTGGGCCGTGCTCCCCAGCCTAGGCTGTGGAAAGAAACACTAAGTCCGGGGGAGACTATACCCAAGATGACGCCCAGGACTCAGAAAGCCACAGTGTCTCTTCCTGTGGACATGGAACCTTAGCCTCCAACCTTTGTTGGGCTATTCTGTTAGAGTTACTCCCTCCCTGAGCAGCTGGCTTCAGCCCCTGGCTGGAGAGAGAGAGAGAGAGGAATGAGGTCTAGCAAGATGTGTGGGAGATATTATTCTAGCCTTCAGCTAGCAGAGGACCCCTGGATCAAAGAATTTCGCTGCTCTTCCCAGCTTCTTTTTAAAGCAGACTCAGCAAAACTCTAACAGTTTTCCGCCCCCCTGCCTAGTAACTCCTAGAGAAGGCCAAAGGCCCTAGGAGGATTTTCCAGAGCCAATATTTTTGTCCTGGGGAGGTCAGGTCCAAATGATTGTCAAGGGCAGCCTTCAAAGGGAAAAATTAGTTTCATGGGAGAGAAGCCTAAGAATGCGAGGGCTGACTGGGCCATCTTAGCTGTCTCAGAAAACGCCTCCAAGAGTCAGCCCCACCCATCTCCCTCCTTCCCCTGCCAGTCCTTAGAGCCATTCCCTGGACCCCAGTACCAATCAGTGGAGTAGAGCAGAATCGAACTGGGGACTTGCTCGTCAATTCCCAAAACAAGTGAAAAGGCAGACTTCCCTCCTATGCATTTTGCCCCCAACACCACCAACCCCCCAAACCCCAACAATCCTCCCTCCCTCTCTTCCTCTACCCCCACCCCAACCGTGGGCTCCCCATCTCACTGTGGCTTCCAGATCCTCTGTCTTGTTGCGGAGATGTTCCAGGTTTTCTCCTCGGGCCAGGATCCGCTCCACATTCTGGGTCATAATATTCTTGACTCCCTCCACCTCGCTCTGCAGGTTCCGCACATGGTCATGTCCCCCACCTCCACTGGCCTCCTCCTGGGCAGCAACACAGGGGTTAATTAGGCCAAGTGGGGGAGGAACTGAGACTCGGCCTCAGAGGCCAGGGGAGGGGTAGGCCTGAGATGGACTTTAGCTTTTTTTAATGCCTCAACTGTTTACAAAGAGAATGTTTTCATGTATTACTCATGTAATCAAAAACAAATGCATTTAGAAGCCCCAGAAGGTGAGTGCTGATGCTAGACAGACTAGATCAAGTCTCCTGTCAGGTTCTCCGGAGCCCCTGGCGAGGAAAAGAAACACAGCCCTAAATCCCACTCCACGGTTGCCTCGCTCCTCCACAGGGGTCAGAAGACTGCTAAGCTGGCATCTCAGGATGGAGAAGCCCACCACTATTTACCAAAGGGTCCTCATTAAAAATACCTGTGCTGGCACAAGCCCCTCTCACTGCAAGACAGCAAGCAGCTGGAGAGTAACAGCAACCAGGCTCCAAGGCCCCCCCAGCCCCCCCGCCCCCCCCCCCAAGGGCCATTGCGCCATGAACTTCTGCTTTTGCCACCACATAGCACCATGTGCAGGCACCAGGCCAGCCCTCCCTCCTTAAGCAGATATTAAATAAAACAGCAGCCTGGGTGTTGGGGGGGAAATGGAGGGCAAGTCCCCCTCTGGCTCATGATAAGGTTTTTCAACAGGGAGGGAAAAACCACTCTTAGGCTCCTCCCTCCCCGACCCACCCGACCTCCGAAACAGGCGGGGGAGCGTGGGTCCCAACTAGATGGACTAACAGAGAACCAACTTCTGGTTCTTTTAGAAACCCTTAGCTTTCTTCCTCATGTTTAGAGAGAGGGGGCCGCCAGTTCCTGAGACTGGGCAGGAAGACGGATTCTTGGAGTTTCTATATAGAAATAAAGTGAAAGGCAGCGCAGGACTGGAATGTGCCCCCGAGAACTTCGGAGGTGCTGCCCAGGGGTGTCATAACACCCGGTGGCCGGCGGGCTGGAGGAGGAGACGCAGGGCCTCTCAGCAACTCCCCGCCTGGAATTCGGATTCCCCCACCCCCCCCCAACACACACACATACCCTCACCGAAACCCTGCTCTGGGGCAGCACGGAGGTCAGGGGAGGGAGGGAGTAGGCCAGGAGCAGGAATACCCGTCCAGGCAGCTCGGAGCTTTACGCAGCCAAGTTGTCAAAGAAGAGCGGCCACAGTCAGCCCTGGCCCCGCGCTCTGACTTTGCCACCAGCTCCCCCGACCCCCGCCCCCCAGCCCACTCTGACTCGTCTTTGAATCAGCCCCTTTCTGGTCGCAGCTCGCTCACCATGTCTCCCAGCGGCTCGGGCCTGTCCGCGACGGGGCTCGCCTAGTCTGTTTCCTCCCGGGCCGCCCTCGCTTCACTTCCTGCTTGCTCCAACTTTCAGCCTGCCCCCGCCCGCCTCGCATCCCGAGCCGCTCCAGCCTCACC